TTATTTGGCAACGTGGCGACAGATACGGCCCTGATAGTGCTACAGTGTGTTCCCAATTTTCAAATTTTGATGTCTGTCCCTAAGGGCTGTCTCGTACAATTTCGAAAAAAATTACTTAAGAGGAACCTCCGAAAACGAGTCCGAAAATTAGAAGAAGGCTCCCCTTATTTGGCAACGTGGCGACAAATCCGACCCTGATAGTGCTACAGTATGTTGCCAATTTTCAAATTTTGATGTCTGTCCCTAAGGGCTGTCTCGTACAATTTCGAAAAAAATTACTCAAGAGGAACTTCCGAAAATTTGAAGAAAACACCCCTTATTTGGCAACGTGGCGACAGATACGGCCCTGATAGTGCTACAGTGTGTTCCCAATTTTCAAATTTTTATGTCTGTCTCTAAGGGCTGTCTCGTACAATTTCGAAAAAAATTACTTAAGAGGAACTTCCGAAAATTTTAAGAAGGCGCCTCTTATTTGGCAACGTGGTGACAGATACGGCCCTGATAGTGCTACAGTGTGTTCCTAATTTTCAAATTTTGATGTCTGTCCCTAAGGGCTGTCTCGTACAATTTCGAAAAAAATTACTTAAGAGGAACTTCCGAAAATTTTAAGAAGGCGCCTCTTATTTGGCAACGTGGTGACAGATACGGCCCTGATAGTGCTACAGTGTGTTCCCAATTTTCAAATTTTTATGTCTGTCTCTAAGGGCTGTCTCGTACAATTTCGAAAAAAATTACTTAAGGAGAACTTTCGAAAATTTGAAGAAGGTACCTCTTATTTGGCAACGTGGCGACAGAGACGACCCTGATAGTGCTACAGTGTGTTCCCAATTTTCAAATTTTGATGTCTGTCCCTAAGGGCTGTCTCGTACAATTTCGAAAAAAATTACTTAAGAGGAACTTCCGAAAATTTGAAGAAGGCACCCCTTATTTGGCAACGTGGCGACAGATACGGCCCTGATAGTGCTACAGTGTGTCCCTTATTTTCAAATTTTGATCTCTGTCTCTAAGGGCTGTCTCGTGCAATTTCGAAAAAAATTACTTAAGAGGAACTTCCGAAAATTTGAAGAAGGCACCTCTTATTTGGCAACGTGGCGACAAATCCGGCCTTGATGGGGCTACAATGTGTTCCCAATTTTCAAATTTTAATGTCTGTCACTAAGAGCTGTTTCTCGGGCTGTCTCGTACAAATTCGGAAAAAATTTCTTAAGAAGAACTTCCGAAAATTAGAAGAAAGCTCCCCTTATTTGGCCATGTGGCGACAAATCCGGCCCTGATAGTGCTACAGTGTGTTGCCAATTTTCAAATTTTGATGTCTGTCCCTAAGGACTGTCCCGTACAATTTCGAAAAAAATTACTTAAGAAGAACTTCCGAAAATTTTAAGAAGGCGCCCCTTATTTGGCAACGTGGAGACAAATACGGCCCTGATAGTGCTACAGTGTGTTCCCAATTTTCAAATTTTGATGTCCGTCCCTAAGAGCTGTCTCGTACAATTTCGAAAAAAATTACTTAAGAGGAACTTCCGAAAATTTTAAGAAGGCGCCTCTTATTTGGCAACGTGGCGACAAATACGGCCCTGATAGTGCTACAGTGTGTTCCCAATTTTCAAATTTTTATGTCTGTCTCTAAGGGCTGTCTCGTACAATTTCGAAAAAAATGACTTAAGAGGAACTTCCGAAAATTTGAAGAAGGCACCCCTTATTTGGCCATGTGGCGACAAATCCGGCCCTGATAGTGCTACAGTGTGTTGCCAATTTTCAAATTTTGATGTCTGTCCCTAAGGACTGTCCCGTACAATTTCGAAAAAAATTACTTAAGAAGAACTTCCGAAAATTTTAAGAAGGCGCCCCTTATTTGGCAACGTGGAGACAAATACGGCCCTGATAGTGCTACAGTGTGTTCCCAATTTTCAAATTTTGATGTATGTCTCTAAGGGCTGTCTCGTACAAATTTGAAAAAAATTAGTTAAAAGGAACTTCCGAAAATTTGAAGAAGGCACTCCTTGTTTGACAACGTGGCGACAAATCCGGCCCTGATAGTGCTACAGTGTGTTTCCAATTTTCAAATTTTGATGTTTGTCTCTAAGGGCTGCCTCGTACAATTTCGAAAAAAATTACCAAAGTCAGAGGAACTTCCGAAAATTTGAAGAAGGCACCCCTTATTTGGCAACGTGGCGACAAATCCGGCCCTGATAGTGCTACAGTGTGTTCCTAATTTTCAAATTTTGATCTGTCTCTAAGGGCTGTCTCGTACAATTTCGAAAAAAATTACTTAAGAGAAACTTCCGAAAATTTGAAGAAGGCGCCCCTTATTTGGCAAAGTGGCGACAGATACGGTCCTGATAATGCTACAGTGTGTTCCCAATTTTCAAATTTTTATGTCTGTCTCTAAGGGCTGTCTCGTACAATTTCGAAAAAAATGACTTAAGAGGAACTTCCGAAAATTTGAAGAAAGCGACCTTTATTTGGCAACGTGGCGACAGATACGGCCCTGATAGTGCTACAGTGTGTTCCCAATTTTCAAATTTTGATGTCTGTCCCTAAGGCTGTCTCGTACAATTTCGAAAAAAATGACTTAAGAGGAACTTCCGAAAATTTGAAGAAAGCGACCTTTATTTGGCAACGTGGCGACAGATACGCCCTGATAGTGCTACAGTGTGTCCCTTATTTTCAAATTTTGATCTCTGTCTCTAAGGGCTGTTTCGTACAATTTCGAAAAAAATTACTTAAGAGGGACTTCCGAAAATTTGAAGAAAGCGACCTTTATTTGGCAACGTGGCGACAGATACGGCCCTGATAGTGCTACAGTGTGTTCCCAATTTTCAAATTTTGATGTCTGTCTATACGGGTTGTCTCGCACAATTTCGAAAAAAAATACTGAGGAACTTCCGAAAATTGGAAGAAGGCGCCCCTTATTTGGCAACGTGGAGACAAATCCGGCCCTGATAGTGCTACAGTGTGTTCCTAATTTTCTAATTTTAATGTCTGTCCCTAAGGGCTGCCTCGTACAATTTCGAAAAAAATTACTTAAGAGGAACTTCCGAAAATTTGAAGAAGGCACCCCTTATTTGCCAACGTGGCGACAGATACGGCCCTGATAGTGCTACAGTGTGTCCCTTATTTTCAAATTTTGATCTCTGTCTCTAAGGGCTGTCTCGTACAATTTCGAAAAAAATTACTTAAGAGGAACTTCCGAAAATTTGAAGAAGGCGCCCCTTATTTGGCAAAGTGACGACAGATACGACCCTGATAGTGCTACAGTGTGTTCCCAATTTTCCAATTTTGATCTCTGTCCCTAAGGGCTGTCTCGTACAATTACGAAAAAAATTACTTAAGAGGAACTTCCGAAAATTTGAAGAAGGCACCCCTTATTTGGCAACGTGGAGACAAATACGGCCCTGATAGTGCTACAGTGTGTTCCCAATTTTCAAATTTTGATGTCCGTCCCTAAGAGCTGTCTCGTACAATTTCGAAAAAAATTACTTAAGAGGGACTTCCGAAAAATTTGAAGAAGGCGCCCTTATTTGGAAACATGGCGACAAATCCGGCCCTGATAGTGCTACAGTGTGTTCCCAATTTTCCAATTTTGATCTCTGTCCCTAAGGGCGGCCTCGTACAATTTCGAAAAATATTACTTAAGAGGGACTTCCGAAAATTTGAAGAAGGCGCCCTTTATTTGGCAACATGGCGACAAATCCGGCCCTGATAGTGCTACAGTGTGTTCCCAATTTTCAAATTTTGATGTCTGTCCCTAAGGGCTGTCTCGTACAATTTCGAAAAAAATTACTTAAGAGGAACTTCCGAAAATTTGAAGAAGGCACCCCTTATTTGGCAACGTGGAGACAAATACGGCCCTGATAGTGCTACAGTGTGTTCCCAATTTTCAAATTTTGATGTCCGTCCCTAAGAGCTGTCTCGTACAATTTCGAAAAAAATTACTTAAGAGGGACTTCCGAAAAATTTGAAGAAGGCGCCCTTATTTGGAAACATGGCGACAAATCCGGCCCTGATAGTGCTACAGTGTGTTCCCAATTTTCCAATTTTGATCTCTGTCCCTAAGGGCGGCCTCGTACAATTTCGAAAAATATTACTTAAGAGGGACTTCCGAAAATTTGAAGAAGGCGCCCTTTATTTGGCAACATGGCGACAAATCCGGCCCTGATAGTGCTACAGTGTGTTCCCAATTTTCCAATTTTGATCTCTGTCCCTAAGGGCTGCCTCGTACAATTTAGAAAAAATTACTTAAGAGGAACTTCCGAAAATTTGAAGAAGGCGCCCCTTAGTTGACAACGACGCGACAAATCCGGCCCTGATAGTGCTACAGTGTGTTCCCAATTTTCAAATGTTGATGTCTGTCCCTAAGGGCTGTCTCGTACAATTTCGAAAAAAATTACTTAAGAGGAACCTCCGAAAATTTTAAGAAGGCGTCCCTTATTTGGCAACGTGGCGACAGATACGACCCTGATAGTGCTACAGTGTGTTCCCAATTTTCAAATTTTGATGTCTGTCCCTAAGGGCTGTCTCGTACAATTTCGAAAAAAATTACTTAAGAG